TTTGGTGAAATTAAAGACAAAATGGAGAAGCAAGATGTAGCCATTGCCAAGTTATACCAAATACAGAATGGAAGTCCAAATTTGCATAATCACGATCTTGATGACAATGATGAAGATGCATTCAATGATGATGCCCATAACTCAAATTTCAACATGGACAGATTTATGAGAGGTAGAGGGGGTCAAAGATATAGATTTAACAAAGGAGACCAAAATCTGGCAAGGTGGGGAGATCGATAAGATCATGACTTAGGCAGCATCAAGATGAAGATTCTTCCATTTCAAGGCAAAAATGATCGAGATGTGTATTTGGAATGGGAAAAGAAGGTGGAATCGGTGTTTGATTGCAACTATTCTGAGGAGAAAAAGGTGAAACTAACAGTGGTGAAATTTATTGATTACGTTGTGGTATGGTGGGATCAGCTTGTGCTTAGTCGACGTAGAAATCGAGAACGTCCTGTTGACACTTGGGAAGAGATGAAGGCTGTGATGAGAAAACAGTTTGTTCCTAGTCACTACTACCGCGATCTCTATCAATGATTATAAGGCCTTACTCAAGGGTCCAGAAGCATTGAGGATTATCACAAGGAGATGGAAATTGCAATGGTTAGAGCGAATGTCGAAGAGGATAGAGAAGCAACAATGGCACGGTTTCTGCATGGTTTAAATCGTGATATAGCTAATGTGGTGGAATTGTAGCATTATGTTGAATTAGAGGATATGGTGCACATGGCAATGAAAGTAGAAAGGCAACTCAAGCGTACAGGTGCCACCACCAGAGCTGGGCAAAATCCAGGTTCCTCATTTTCTTGGAAACCAAATTGGAGCAAAAAGGAAGAAAATTCTGCTTTTAAGCCTAAAACTTCAGCATCTAAGTCAAAAGACGTTGGCAGCAGTGAAAAGAGTAAAACTAATAATATGCAAGGTAGAAACCGAGACATTAAGTGTTTTCGATGCTTGGGAAGAGGGCATATTGTATCGCAATGCCCTAATAAGCACACGATGATCTTGAAAGAGGATGGAGAAATTGAAACAGAGGATGAATCTGATGATGACTCTATGCCATCATTGGAAGATACTAATGATGGCATGGAATATGCTGTTGATGGAGAACGACTTGTCACTAAGCGTGCTTTAAATGTGCAAGCCAAAGAAGATGATGAAGTACAACGCGACAACATATTTCACACGAGGTGCCATATCAAAAATAAGGTATGTAGTGTGTGATTATTGATGGTGGCAGTTGTACTAATGCAGCTAGCACTGTTTTGGCTAAAAAGCTTAATTTACCTACGATGAAGCATCCAAAGCCATATAAGCTACCATGGTTAGATGATTGTGGAGAAATTAAGGTAAATAAGCAAGTTTTGGTTTCATTCTCTATTGTACGATATAAGGATGAGGTACTGTGCGACGTGGTTTCCATGCATGCTGGACATTTACTTTTGGGGAGACCATGGCAATATGATAGGAGAATAACACATGACGGCTTTAAAAATCGCTCTTCATTCATCATGGAAAGGAAAACAATTACTCTTGTGCCGTTGAGTCCAAGGCAGGTTTATGAGGATCAACTAAGACTAAAAAAAGAGAGTAAGCTGAGAAAAGATAGTGAGCTTGAGGGTATGAAAAACAGAGAGAAAATAGCAGAAAAAGAGTTAAAAAAGAGAGAAAAGATCGAGAGTGTTGAAAACAAAGAGAGAAAATCAGTGAGTGTTTATGCAAAAGAAAGTGATGTCAAGGTTGCGTTCTTTGCAAAACAGCCTATGTTTGTGCTTCTGTATAAAGATACTTATTTCAACACTAACGAACTTAATGATTCTTTACCTAGTGCTGTTAAATCTCTTTTGCAGGACTTCAAGGATGTGTTTCCAGATGACGTTCCTAATGGTTTACCACCAATAAGAGGAATCTAGCATCAAATGGACTTCATTCATGCTACAACAATTCCAAACCAACTAGCATATCGAAGCAATCCCAATGAGACGAAAGAACTTCAATGGCAAGTTGAAGAAACTCATGAAAAAGGGACATGTAGGAGAAAGCATGAGTCCATGTGCAGTTCCAATGCTCCTTGTGCCTAAGAAGGATGGGACTTGGCATATGTGCGTTGATTGTTGTGCGGTCAACAAAATCACTGTAAAGTATCATCACCCTATTCCTAGATTAGATGACATGTTAGATGAGTTGCATGGTTCTTGCATATTCTCTAAAATTGATTTAAAGAGTGGATATCATTAAATTAGGATGAAGGAAGGAGATGAATGGAAAACAACCTTTAAAACGAAACATGGTTTATATGAGTGTTTAGTTATGCCATTTGGATTAACTAATGCACCTAGTACATTCATACGATTAATGAATCATGTTTTGCGTGCTTTCATTGGCAAATTTGTGGTTGTTTATTTTGATGACATTCTGAAATATAGCAAGAGTTTAATTGAACATATTGAGCATGTGCGAATGGTACTAGAGGTGTTGAGAAAAGAAAAGTTGTTTGGTAACCTTAAAAAGTGTTCCTTTTGCACAAATCAGATTGTTTTTTTAGGGTATGTTGTTTCAGCTGATGGAATCGCAGTAGATGAAGAAAAGGTTAAGCCTATTAAAGAATGGTCGACACCCAAAAATATTTATGAGGTGCGGAATTTTCATGGTTTGGCGAGTTTCTATCGGAGATTCATCAAGGATTTCAGCACAATTGCAGCACCTTTAACTAAAATTGTGAAAAAAAGTGTTGGATTTAAGTGGGAAAGTGAACAGGAGAATGCTTTCAATTTAATTAAGGAAAATTTAGTTTTTGCACCGTTACTTGCTTTACCTGATTTTACTAAAACTTTTGAAATTGAATGTGATGCATCAGGTATTGGCATTGGTGTTGTTTTGATGCAAGAGCGGCGACCTATTGTGTTTGTTAGTGAAAAATTGACTAGTGCAGCACTTAACTATCCTACTTATGACAAGGAGATGTATGAATTGGTAAGAGCTTTAGAGACATGGCAGCATTATCTTTGGAAATAAGTGATAGGCACAAAATTAATTTCTCATCATATCATCTATTAAATTTAAGATGACTTATTTAAATTGAATGGTAGATTAGATAATTTATTTTAAGACCAAACGCATATAGGTTAAAAAATTACAAAAATAATAGAGAGGTGATTTTAATAAGTTTAAAAAATAAGTGAATTAAAATATTTTTTTGTCTAAGATTATTATCAAAAATAAATAATAACATAAAATATGTAAAAAATGATGTTATAAATAACAAATTTATAGATATTTTAATAAGTTTAATAAATTTTTTAATACACTATAATAAAAAATTATAAAATTAAAATTATCTTATCAAATTTAATTTATTAAATTTAAAACCCAAACCTTGGTAGTAGCTCCAGTAGGCAGTGTATGGATGTTTCACCCATACAATTGAAGTTCAATACCCCTGTCCCCTGTTCCCTTTTCCCCTGTTCCCTTTTGCCTTCTCCCTATTTCCAAAGTTCAAATATATATATATATATATATATATATTAGATTTAAAACCTGATTAATTCTAAAATTAAATTAAAAAATGTTTTCATACAAGACAAGAAGTTTGCGAGTAGGTTAAGATTAAACCAAGTAGTGTGTTCTTATTGCTAATTTTCTTTTCAAATTGTAGAATTTTAATATAATATTTTATGTACACAATAATAGAAGCGTATTAGAATAATTAATTTTAAGTATAAAAATTTATGAATAAAAATAAAGCATAAGTAAAATGTTAGTATGGTTAAAATTATAAAAACCCTTACAGAGTTCTTAAGAAAACAATCTTAGATTAGGTTTAAGTATTTAAAAATAATGAGAATATTATATACAAAATAATAAGATTTCTATAAATTACATACTTTAAAAAAAAGATAAAATCAAATTGATATTTTAAACATGAAAAGTAAAAGAAATAATATTTATTTCAGTCAAGAAATTTGTCTAAAATAACATTATATTTAATTATTTTTATAATTAAAGTCGGACAATGTACTTGTTTGAATTCTGTTAATATTTTAATAATATATTACTTAATTTAGTTAAGATTTTTTTACCAAATCAATCAAATATAAAGGCTGCCTCAATAACTTTTTTCGATTAAATTTTTTTGACTAAAATTGTCTCAATTTGTTATTAAGATGAAATTTTGTTTGAAATTATAATTTTAGATACAAAATATTTTTTTTAAACATATTACAATTTTTTAAAAGGAGAGATTCAAATTCTAACCCTAAAATTAAATAATGCAACTTACAATGAAATCTGTAACCATCAGGTCAAAAAACCCATTTCTTAGATGCAAAATATTTGGTTAAAAGTTTGACTAAATAAGTCATATTTCAAACATAATACTAACTCTTTTCATAAAAAATCATGTTTAAAAAAAGCCACCATTTCTAGTAGTCATGAAGTATAAAGTTTAAAATTTTAAATGATATTTTTGTACTAGTTGATATAAAAGAATCAATGTAATAATCATTATAATGAATATTTTTAAGAAGGATTTGAAAATTTTCATATTACTTCACATATTTTTACTAAAAAGTTAAATGTCAAATTTGTTCTTATTGTAAAATATATTAATGATTAAACATTATTAGAATTATTAAAGAGTTTGAATAAAATAATAATATGTTTTAAAAAGTAACTATAAAATAAAAAATTTTGATATAATAAAATTTTGACTCAACTTGAAATTGAGCACTTACTAAATTTGAATATGCAAAATTTGGATATTTATTATATTCACAAAAAATATGTTTACAATATAATATTTATGTACATGTATCAATATTACTATGGTTGTCACATCTACTAACAATTCAAAAATATTTATAGTCTTTAAGGATGTTAAAAATGTTTGTGAAATGGACCTTAGATCGCATATGCAATAAAAATATAACCTTATTTTGCAAGCATAATAGTATGAATATTGCATGATTAATTGATGGTTATATTAAGAGATAAAATTAATGCATATCTCACTAAAATTTTTTTTATATGAACTCTTAAATAAAATAATTATTAAATTTATTCATATTAGAATTTAATAAATTGTCTTCACAATATCTATTGAATTGAGAGGAAATATTATAGATATGACACTCTTTTTTCTTTTGTTACAAATTTTTTCTATTGAATTTTTCTTGAGAAGGTTTATAATAAGGTAGTATACTGGTGTCTAATAACAAGATAAGAAAGCGTTATGAAAAATGACTGTTATACATTTTTTTATTTTTCTACTAATAAAAGTAATTATAAGACTGAATGCTTAAGAATTAATTTGCATTATTTCGCATATTTGCACTGTTTTTACTAGTCCAAAGGCTCACATGTTACGTTGGGGGTTAAGTCTTGGGGCTTCGGAGGCCGTTTTGCTTTAGGCAAAAACCCTTCTTAAGCCCCTAAACTTAATCCAGAATAGAATTTAAGCCCGTAAATTAAAAATAAAGTAAATAAGTCCTTTAACACCACTAATGATGCAGATAAACCCCTTCTCATTCATGGGTGTTCAGACTTTCAAGGTGATGTTAAACAAAGTAAAAGGACTTATTTGCATCATTAGAGGAGTTGGAGCGCTTATCTGCTTTGTTTTTAGCTTAAGGGCTTAAATATTATTTTAGGATAAGTTTGAGGGCTTAAGAAGGGTTTTTGCCTTTGCTTTATCCAAACGTACCCTTGAAGACTGGCGAAGTGAAGGTCGTTTAGGATATTTGGGGTCTGGGTTTCAAAGAGGGGAACAGTGACAAGTACAAGAGGAGAACCAGAGAACAGAAACCTCAAGAGAAAGGAGGACAACCGAAGGAGAAACAGGATCGATCAATTCCCGGCATTGCTGTTCGAGCTCGCCCCTCCCTTTGGACCACTCGTATATCCGTAACAAGAACATTACATTTCAGGTATTATTTTCTGAATTTATTTTGGCATGATGATTGAAGCTCCTTTGTGAGCTACGTTATGACTGATTAAGGTTCTGTTTATTCCTGTCGTGATTTGATTCCTGATATTCATTATTGTGGTTTTAATTTCCTGCAATTGATGTCTTTATTTTCTGTTTTTGTTTAATTTTGGTATTCTCTTGCCTGGATTCTGCCTCTTTTAGTGCCATAGTTAAAGAAACAGTAGAGTGCCGTTCAAAAAAAAAAAAAACAGTAGAGCGTCTATTGCTTATGTTGATGGTGATTGGTATAAGGTAGTTTGAATTCTTTGACTTGGGTCACAGTTTCAATTATTGGACCATTAGATATTTGCTTATTGGTCATCAATAGTTAGGATAATGAACAGAAATAGAAACCCTCGAAGAAGAAAGAGGAAGTACGGAATATGAAAGAAAAGGGAAACTGTGAGAAAAATGAATTTAAAATAAACTAGTTTGAAGAGAAAGAAATAGTGGAAGAGAGTTTTAAAAGAGCAAAGAGAGGTAAGAAAGGCTACCTTTGAAAATAACAAAATTGGAGTGAATGACTAAAGGGAAAATAGAGAGGAGCCAGGAAGACAAAGATGAAATGGATAGAATAAAAGAAGTATAAGTAGAGAAATCTGGGATGGTATGATGGAATAAAGGAAAGGAAGGTAAGACAGTGAGAAGGATGGGATGAAAGGATCATAAATACAAACAAGGAAACAAAAGAAAATGAGACCACGGAAAAAAAAATATACAAGTTAAAAAGAAAAAAGAAAGAATAAGAATTTGAGAACCTGAAAGTAGAAAAGAAGTACTAAAAAAATGAGAAACAAGTGATGTTATAATGTGGGAATGAGTAGAAATAGAAATGAAAAGGAAAAAAGAACAACAAAAGAAAGGGAAAAGTAAGATTAAAGGAAGGAATAAAAGAATTTAAGGCCTTAAAAGAAGGAATTTCAAGCTCAAAGAGCTTAGCATTGAAGGAGAGGTTAAAAGAATAGTACAGATATAGTAAATAAAAGATTTTTAAGGACATTGGAAAAGAAAAGATTTTTAAATGTTATAAAATGCATAAAGACCTAAAGCAGTTAAAACTGAGAAAGGAATTGAAAGTTGATAATAATGTACAAGGAATAAATCAATAAAAGAGTTATGGCCAAAGAGAAAAAAATCAATAAAAGAGTTAGAAAAGAAAGGTGGAGGGAGTTGAGTATTGAGTTTGAGAGACTGAAGCTTATCTTGATATTGTCCTTTCTCAATTTAAGCTTTGATTGTGTTTGTCTTATCTGGTGCTATAAGTTCTAATTAGATAGAGGTTTGCTATGTATGCTGCATTTTGGGTAGTCAATTGGAATTTATCCCAGTGCCTCGACAGAGGTTTGCCATGTTTGCTATAAAGGTTTAACTAATAAAATGGTTTGCATGTCTTGTTTATAATTGAGTTTATCCCCAAAGTTAAAGACTTAAAGTATAGCAACCATATTTCACAGAGGCTGTGGGGTGCTCTTATACACTTCCCCTTGCCTAATGGTAACACTATCTTTTTTTTCCTAGAGAACAAAAGTACCTGCTCAGGGCTTAGGGCTTTAGGGTTTTGGAAGTTGAGGATTGGCTGGCTGCTGTTCCAGTTTGGAGTTCATTCAAAGAAATCAACTAATCAGGTTTCCTATGATCATTTCTTCTTTAATTTTAGAGGTTTTTTTAGTAATTAGCATGAACTCCTATAATTAGCTCTTATAAGTAGTAGCAGGAGAAAGGAAGGGAAATATAAGGATTGACAGTCAATTGTCATCATCATATCTAACAGCAAGACTAATCACATTGGAATTGAATTAGTTCATAAAACCCCGTCCTAATTGAAGGGCTTTCTTGAAACTCTCAAAGAAAAATGGTTAGTGTTGTTTTGTGTGTTTGGATTTGGTGGGTTTGGGTAGCGATGCTTTTCTAAGAAGATTTTCTCAAAATGGAAGCTAATGGAGGGTGATAAATGGCACAAAGTAGGAACGGCTGAGTATATATGTAGGAAAAGGAAAACATGACATTGGTAAGTAATAGTATCATTGATTTTGTCATTGCTAGAACGAGTACTGTATCCAAATTTGGGTTAAAGAAAGAAAGTTGAGGATGTATTGGTATTTAGTGCAGAAATTATTTATTCTCTAATTTAGATTTGTTTCTTGTTGTAAATTCTCTAAGATAATAAGACATCAAAAAATGTTTTTTTCATTGT